TTTTAGGTGTGTGATACGCCCCAAAACCAAACATTTTTTCCTTTTTTCCTTTACAAGGCATTCAGCCCTGTTTACTTGGTCATTGTTTGCCATCTCATATCAGCATAGAAACTGAACTACAACCTATGCATACTGTGTCATTGGGTATAAGAGCTGTGGTTGTAAACCCTATCCTAGTCTTCAATTTCAGACCTTGCTTTCAGGAGCCAGATACTAACTTCAAGAGTTGAAGGGGACTGCAAATTTTCCTACAAATCAAGGTAGTTTAAACTCATCCTACTAACTGATTTTCTTTATATCTGATTTGGGGTAAACTCTTAATCAAGAAAGATCTAATAATTTTTGGTTGGAATAAAATCTTAAGAAGCTTTCACAACACAGATTTGGATATATAACATTTGTTATAAAGAAACTGTGTAAAAGTGTCTCAAAGGTTCTATAAACAAGAAAGTAAATTGGTAAAGTAAGTTCCTTCATGTTTAATTTGCTCCAAGTTATTTTTCTTCTTCTTGCAGCCATGGAATACCAGACAAATGTGATAAATGCACAACCTCAGGTGACTGTGACACAGTACACGGTCTCCCGTGGGTCGTCAGAGTGGAGTACAAATGCATGCGACTGCTGTGAAGACTGCGGCATCTGTACGTGTCTATATAAGTTCTATGGGAACATGCTGAAGTTTACCAACAGTGTAACATAATAGAAATATGGTAAAACATCTCTCACCTCCAGGTCTTTGTGGAACATTCGTTCCCTGCATCCTGGCTTGTCAGGTGGCTCAGGACAGCGATGAAAGCTGCTGTCTGGCCTGCCTTCCCGGCGCCCTGATTGCTTTACGGACAAGCATACGCAACAGATACAATATTGGTGTAAGTGTGGTGCAGATGTCTAATCATTTATTAAACAAGAAGACTAGAATTCTAATCATGAATTCAATCATGAAGTCATAAAATTCTCCAGAATTCTAATCTAGATGGTGTTTTATATTACATTTTTGAAATCCCAGCACTCTAAATATGGTTCTGTAAAAAAAACAAACTATGATGTTTGTCACCAGTTTACTGTGACTGTGCTTTTCCTCAGGGCTCTGTGTGTGACGACTGGTTAGTCATGGCCTGCATTCCAGCATGTGGATTATGTCAGATGGCACGTGAGCAGAAGATAAGAGGAAACTGAAAATTTATACAATATATGATATCCTCAAAGTATCAAA